CTCTCTCTCTCTCTCATACACATACGTATACACGCACGCTCTTTCGCGAAGAGAAATAGAATGGTAATTAGGATGATTAACGCGGCGATTTATCGTTGTACCCGGATAAAGAATCGGTTTTGGTCTCTGCGTGGCAAGTGCGTTACGAAGCCAGTGCCAGGAAATATCGCGACCCCGTGCGTTTCGCAAGTTACCAGGACGACGAGAAGAAATTGGAAAAACTGGGCAAACACGTGGGGAGGGGGGGCTGGGGGTAGAAAGAATCGAACGCGCGCGCGCGAGGATTTTAGAAAAGAGAAAACGAAAGGAAGGAAACATTGTAATATTTGTATATAGCCATGTTATTGTGGTAAAGAAGAATTACCTATATTATTATAAATATTACGCATATACATACATATATACGTGTACATATATGTTGGCGCGTATACGCGCATGCGTACGCGTACGCGCGCGCGTGTACGCGCGAGCATATTCTAAGTCTGTAATGCCGTTACGTTGTTGTACCATATTATTGTGAACACCATTTCTCAGACATCGATTTTTTTAAATAAAAAGAAAGTCTCTATCGACATGCACTAAGTACCAAGCAGAGTATCCGTCGAAAAAGTTATCCACCGCACCGAAACGATCCGGTTTCTCATCTTAACGATTTAGCCGCGCGGCTTTTTCGCCTCGTCTCGTCCTGACCTGCGTCGCCTTCGTACGCTCACATTATAGCGCTTTCACGCTCGGATTCACACCGTTGCGCTCGTTTCGTCCTTACTCGATTTCCGTTCCGCGAATCAGCGCGAGTCCAACGTACATCGACTTTCCACCGCGCGTGGAAACGAACGAAAAACAAACAAATAAATAATAATATTAATAATAATTATAATAATACTAATAATAATAATAATGTCAATTCCTGGATGGAGATTTTGCGATGATCGCGATCCAACGGCGGTACAAGCTGCAACGAAGCAGAATCGAGAAAGGACAGCGGAACAGAGACGCGACGATTTTTGTAAACGATCGGTGCCTGAACGTTTCACCAACGAGCCTTCTTGTCAGACTGATGTTCGTCTTTAACCTACCTAATTAACGATCGGCAGCGCGCTGTACACGCTCTCGCACGACCAATCCACGAAGTCAGTCTGCGATCAGAGACGCGACGAAGGAGCCTTCATCGGGATGCGCACTGAATATTGCGTCTAAACTCGCGAGAATGGCCCCCGCTGACAGAAAGTGGCGATACTTTCTCTGTGATAACCCGTTAATTCGAACTCCGTTTCAAGCTCCCTTCGCTAAGCCTACTTTTCCACGACTCGCAGAGCCTACGAACAGTAACTCCTTTCTAAAAATACGCGAAAATACTTCGAGAAACGTTCGAGCGAGTTTAAACGCGATCGATCCATCGAGCGAGTCGAGATCGAATTCTCGCGAGTCACGTGTCTTGTAGCGGAACTTCGATCTCGATCGACTCGGGCAGATAGCACGGCGCTACTGCGCATCCTAAACATGGCGGACGTCGACGCGAAGCACGTACGAAAATGAAAGAGAAACGAAAGGGGAACGATAAGAAAAAGAAAAAACGGCACATTCAGCATTTCTCACACGACACCGTGGTCCTTCTGCCCGTCGATGTGTAAATAATTGTTTCATATTGTTGTAAAGTAGAACGGTGATAAGGAGAGATGGATGATACAAGTAGGAGACGGCGGTACTCGCTTGCCGAGAGTTTAAAGTCAAAGTCTCCCCCGTAATGTAAGCGCACAAAAAGAGGGTTAACGATCTATGTGTCTTCTTCGTGTTTAATCGTATCTTTGTTATTAAATCTTGAACGTCTTACGAATGCTTATCTGTGTATTTGCCTAGGCTCCTGTCTTTCTTTCTCTCTTTTCCTTCAGTGGCGCCACGGAACCGCATGGCGACGGACATGGGCAGGTAATCGAAATCATTTTGCACACATAAACGCATCGATATATGAATCTTGATTTATTGCTACATTCTTTCATCTCGCGTCGTTCGTACTATTAACAAAGTCGATCGAATGCAGCGTCGACTGATTCTCTGACGGAATAATCGGTGGTTCTCATTCAAAGATTAAAACGTAAAAGCATACTTCGTTTACAAGTTAAAGGTTCGAGCGTGTACGCGATCTAAGCGCCATCTAACGTGTACTTTTGCTTCAAAGGCAAGACGCTGTATGGCATCGGAGGGGAAAACTTTTGAAACGGACTCTATTCTATGGCATCGGGGAAGCTGAAACGTACCGACGAATGGTCATATACCGGCTACCAAACCGAGTATTTATCTACCAACGATTATGCTTATTTTCCGAATCTTGAATACCAAGAGGACTGCTATTAACCTGCAACGTACTCTGGCAGTGAATCGCTACGGTTAATCGATATATCTATTGCTTACTAATTATTAAATTAATATCGTTACACACGACGTCAACCTCAAATTTCGTAACCCTTTTCAACCCGATGTTACATCTTAGAAGTTGGAGGACGAAGGACTCGCTTGATTCTCTTAAACCTAGCTAACGCCACCCCGGGTTCGTTGTTCAAACCACCGAACGCATCTCCGTATTCTGTCGCTAATGGACCCAGCACTTCGTTACTTCCCGTCAGTGAGGCCACAGAGCCGGATTTCTTTTCCAACATGGATTCGTGTTCCGCTATTGCTTTCTCGTCTTCGTTAACCTTCCTCGCGCTCGACTGTCGATGGAATCGTTTATTTAGTGATACTCGTAGGAGCTAACCATCTGTAATTAATTTCTCTCTTTCACCTTTGCATCACCAAGGCCCCCGCGCAAGCTCGAGTCCAAAGGAAAATCACCTGGCAGATTATCCTCCAACTTGGCGGTGCGCTGATCCGAAATCAGATTAGGGTTCTTGGATCTTCTCCGTCTCTTCTTCTTCCGGTCGTTCCTCACCAGAAATATCTCTCGCGGGTATTGACGTTTTATCGGCACCTCGTTCACAATCGGGGTTTGCGACTGCGATTTCGTCATCGATCGTTTCTTCACCGTCGTCTGACGAGGTTTCTTGCTCGAATTTGCATCGCTCGCACCTTGCACCTTTTCTGGACCATTGTCACCCTGCCTCTTCTTTCGTTTTATCGACGGCTTCTCAGCTTTGTCCCGTACCGCAATCTTACCGGCATTTCGAACAGATCTCTTGGACACGTCGCGTTTGTCAGCCGCTTCAGCCTCCAATGCCTGCTCTTCGTCATCGTCGTCTTCTTGCTCGTGCAGTTCATCGAATTTCGCATTGTTCTCCTCGATGTCCCTGATGCGTCGTTTCTCCGCGATCTCTCTTTTAATTTCCTCCTTGATCGAATCGATCTTCCGCTGAATACGCTCTTACTTCTTCGAGTTCTCTAACTTCTCCGCAACTTCTGCGGCCGCAACCGTTTCCGCAACGTTTGCAGGAACATCGACCTTTGCAGTCTCCTTATTCGCCACGTCGGCAATTTTCGACTCCTCTGCTTTCGAGGTCCCCTTCAGATCCGAGGAATCACTGGCCAAATCATTAGTCACCTTGCCGTTGCCAGATAAGCTAGTTTCTTGCGTTTTCCCCTGGTCTGCGATCTGCTGACCCTCCTGATTCTGCAACTTTCCACTCTCACCGCTTTCGATTTCAGTCTGATCGTTCGCCATCAAAGATTGCTTCGTGCCATCCGTTTCTCTGTCCGAATTTACTTTGGACATGTCACTCTCGTTCTTCTCGGGTACGTTTCTCTTCGAGTTCTCTTCCTGATCGTTCGACTCTTTGTCCATCTTGCTCGCCTGATTCTCGACTACAGTATTATCCTTTTCAGACCCAGCACCTCGTTTCAACGGTGTCTCTGCAGCCTTGGAATCACCAGACGAGTCAGCAGATGTTCCAGAACTCTCCGATTTCCCAGCAGCCTCCACGGTATCAGCTTCTCTCAAGTTCTCGTACTCCCTCTTCACTCTAACGTCCCCACGAGCCATCCTCTTTTCAGCTTCCTCGTCCAACGGATTGTCTTCCAAGATCGCAGAATCCTCGGCACCACCTGCAGCTTCTTCGTCCATCTCTTCGTAATCCTCGGCCCCGGAGATTCCTCTCTTCACCACGTCCTTCGTCTCGAAGTCATCGTACAAGCTGGACCTCTCTTCCTGATCGATGAACCCCGCTGAGTCTTCGCTCGAGTGAGTTTCGCTACCTTTGTACCTGGTTTCCTTGTTTTTCGAATTAATCGCAGGCTCCTCTTCAGCCTCGTCCGCGTACTCGGACCTGTCCTGGTCAACTGGGACCTCGTAATCCTTGTCTGGAAGCTTCGCAGACTCTCTGGAGGCGCGACCGATTCTCGATGTAAGTTTGGCTACCTTGCGAGGGATCGACCGCTTCTCGTCGGACTTTGCAGCCTCGTTCAAGCTCCTCGAATTGCTCTTTTTAACCAAGTTGTCCCGTTTCACGCGCGCACTCTTGCTAGCGTCTTCAGCCTGGACAGCCGTTTTACCCGGTTCAGTCTCGATGTTGCATTTCGAGCTAATCGCGTCGTTTCTTCGCTCGCTGGGTGCTCGGAAAATTTTCTCGATCAACGGGTCTACCCTATTTCTTTGATCCTCGACGACGTACACGTTGGAATCCCTGTTACTAAAATAGTACAGCAAGGAAAGACGGATCAAATGGATAAGAGAAGCAAATATGTAGATGAGGGACTATGTAAAGAAACTCATAGATCACAGGATTGGAAGAAGAAAAAGATACCATGGTAAAAAGAAAAGGGAAAAATGTGGGGTACCATTCGGTGCTTGAAGGAAGAAGCTACTATAGTTGGGAAAAGAGAGGAGAATGGAGGATGTCTTTCTGTACCTGGGTGTGTCTTTGACAAACTCTGGATGACAATAAGAAACGAACGATCGAAGAAGGATAGACAAAACGAGGATGTACACACAGTTGAGCCGGAATCGTTCGATCATCGTGTTGCAAAACGGGCATAGTGCAGATTTTTACGAATGGCCGGACGTTCGAGCTACTTTCATATTTTGATGTCTGACTTTGAAAAATTGTAACAGACGACGTTGGTGCTACGTGAATATGGAACGGCGTGCAATCGAGCTCGATCGAGAGGTTGCTTTTGTTCCAATCGACGCCACGTAGCCATAGCAATCATAGGTGGGCATTGTTCGAGTAAAATGTTATTCGAATAACATTTCGGAGAATAAAATTTTATTCGCTGACTGCATCGTATAACAAACAAAGGCATATTTCATTTGGAACGAAAACGGGGGAATTAAATTGGAGATAACGTTGTTGAAATTATCGCGTTAATCAAAGGGTTTCTCGAATTTTTATACTGCTATTAAAATTCTCCCGAATCGCTCATTTCATGAAACGAACGAGGGGGAGAATGAAAAAAGAATGGGAAAAGTTTTCGTTTCAAAATGAGACATGATATATTGGCTCCGAAAAAACGCAGAAGAAATTTAAGAAACTAAATAAATAAAAGATAACAATAAAAATAAAATAAAATAAAATAAAGATAATAATAAAAATAAATAAATATAAGAAACTAATATCCTAAAGGGTATTAATTTAGAATAAATTTGATTCTATAACACAAGCATCCCACGATGTTCAACATTGTCCTGCCATGAGTCACGCATAGAATACAACTAAGAATAAGATGAAATAAGCATAAGACCTTAAATTTGGACTTGGTAGAGCATACGCTAGCAACGAACTACAGAGATCACTTTCAAGGCAATAACGAATTTGCATTGTTTCGACTTTTATTCTTAGTCCAGAACGAACAGGCAATTTCCTGGAAAGCGAAATGATTCAAAAAATGTTTCGTACACAGTGAAATTTACGGTGTACGGCGCATTGGAAGTGATCGGAGGAGCTGTCTGTCGCCTAATCAGCGAACTACCTTTGTTAGACTTCGTTAAAAATAATACAAACTTCGATGAACGCTATTTTAATCGATATACCTATCTAAATTATGCCTAAAACTTAAGCAACATAAATTATAAGAAGATTTTCTATGGATCTGTTCTCCCTAATTTAATGGATGAAAATCTACAACACTAAGATCGCAGCCAATCAGCTCGTATTACTTGCTATATCTTTATAATTGTATCATAGCTATTAGTTATATACGATATAACTATAGTGATACAATTAAAAATGATATGTCAAATAATAACGATTGCCCAGGTCTCACCACGTGGAGGTGCTGCGAATGGAGACCCACCCTATCCGCGTCCCATCCACCCTCCATTCGCGTAAAAATTTAGCAATAATAAATTCCCCTTTTGATGCACGTTTGCAAAACGTTCAATCTTTGATCGCTGCACAAAAGAACAGCAAAAAGGGTTTAAAAGAAATAACGACGCGAGAAACTAAACCTGAAAATAAAAAATAAATTAAGTCTTAAACTAAGCGTATAACTCTATGCGAGACGTTATTTCATTTCCATATCAATATTTTACATTTGCATGCCACAAAATATAGATAATTAGAAAGTTAAAACGAAGAAAAGACAACATTTCGTCTATGCAACAAGACTTTACACGTTTCTGGGCACGAAAATGTAGAATAATTGATACTTAAACCCACACCAGAAGAAATGAAATGTCTGGCAAAGAATTAAATTTATTTTACTAACTTAATACTAATTAATACTACTTATCCTTAATTATGTACAAACTTAATTAATAACATGTATAATTACTATTATTTAACCATTGTTTTTATTATTATTCTTATTATATTTTTATAATTATTACTAATCTTATTTTATTTAACCTTAATACTACCTAGCTAAAAATGTTATATTGCTTAAATACTAATATGCATAGAATTATAGTGTAAGTCTTTGGTTACATATTAATTTCCTACTTAAGTACTAAGATCTTAAAATACAAGTACAACTTAAACATAAATCTCACTTAGTTTAAAAATATCCTGCCTAACTAAAAATCTAATTCATCCTGCCTAACTAAAAATCTAATCCCCCTACCTAACTAAAAATCTAATTCACCCTACCTAACTAAAAAGCTAATTCATCCTACCTAACTAAAAAGCTAATTCATCCTACCTAACTAAAAAGCTAATTCATCCTACCTAGATAAATATCTAATTGTAGTGAAGAAACAGGAAAATGCCATGTGACTGCTTTCCATCTGTGGTTCATAAAAATTCCTGAAACAAATTTTGTAAATCCTACCTATATAAAAATTCTAATTATTTTTTATACATCATAATATGTGTATAAAACCTGGAGGGAGGGGGATCTAGGGGGGCAATCTAGAGATGATTTTATATCCTAGTTGTTATGAATCAGGGATTATTTAACTCAACCTACCTACATAAAAGATTAAACATTTGACTTAGAACTACTTATACAAAAATCAGAATCTTAAATGGAAAGGGAAAGGATTATGGGAGTTATATAGGGTTAGACTCTTCTCAAATTATCTTCGTAGAGCTTACAATGGTTCCTGAAACATATCAAACTACAGAAAAATTAGTAAAATCATGTGGGCTGTAATTAATAATAGCAATTAACGTGATGAGGTTATAAATAAATAAATGAGGCTCACACACCACTTTCTATAAAGTCATTTCCTTCCATGTATCTTATTTCTATTCTACCCATAGAAAAATCTGAATGTTAAAGGGAAAGGGATATGGGAATTGTATGGGATTTTTAATCTCCTCGAATCATCCCCGTAGGTCTCAATGGTTCCTGAAACTGCTCAAACTACTGAAAAATTAGTAAAATCATACGGGACATAATTAATTATAGTAATTAATGTGATTAAATTATAAATAAATAAACGAGGCTCACACACCACTTTCCTTTAAATCATTTCCTTTCATGTATATTATTCCACTTCTGAGCCTCTGACATACTTACATATTTACATAAGCTTGAATATTTGAAACGCTATCAAATACAGCGATACGTAAATTTTGAGAATTAATAAATCTGAAACAGACTTAAATACTGGATTAGTAGATAAAAAAAGAATTTTATTAATCTGGCAGCTGAAAGAGAACAAGTTATATTTAAAATGAACTTTAGTGATATTCAACCCAAATTTTCCAAAAATTTGTAATTGAAATAATTACACTTTACTGCAATTTATTTATAATTATTTTTACAAAAAAAAGAAAAAAACAGCAATTCATCTAAACACCGAAACAAAACAAAAAATTAAAAAAAAATATTTATACGAAGAGTCGAATTACATACACGGAAAATTTTACTTGCAAGGTTTCTATTAAAAATAAGCGAGTTTCGCGAATGAATTTTGACCGATGCAAAGCAAATTTGCACAACGGTAAAAAGATGAATTATAATAATGAACGGTTCCTAAACTATTGATTCTATTGATTATTTCGCGAGCTTGATTTGAAAAAATTGAATCTTTTATGAAAAGAAAGAAAAAAAAAAAGTTATTGAAAACAAACAAATACATTATACAGCAGTGTTTTTATTAACAAACATTTCAGTAGCAAAGGGCGCTGAAAAAGAAAACGCGATGGTAGCCAGAAGGGCCACCGAAACAAAAATTTTCACTCAATCTAAACCCGAGGAACAAACCGTGAGTGAAAAATCCTTCCAAATTTCGCAACACTAATTTATTAAATCTATTAATAATATAAAAAATTTACAAAATCAAACGCGAAGAGTGCTTCATACAAAATTATTTACAAAATGTTAGCAATTGAAAAAAAATATTTAAAAAAAAGAAAAGAACAGATAACTCCCGAAAATAATCATGATAAGAATTATGAACGCAACACTAATAAATACTAATTTATGCACTCATATGGAAAAATACGCAACACTAATAGCGAAGAAATATGGGCAGCCATGGTCCAGGCTGCTGATGTGTGGCCACACATGTGCAGCTCTATAGCTGCAACAGGTGATCCTCCGGAACGGGACTATCCTTCCACAGTCCCAGTGGAACGATTTTGGGCATTATGTATTCGCAACACTACTTGAACAAACGCGATCATATTTCAACGCAACGCTAACTATAAAGGTGGGTAATTGAAAAAAAAAAAAAAAACGCGATGTGGGTAAACGCAACACTAATTCCTGAAATGAATTTAATAAAAATTACTATCTCTATAGATACAAAAAGTTACTTTTAAAAACTCCCGATTGGTTGAAGTCGCAACACTATAAATTTAATAAGAAACAACAATAAAAAAAGGGTATCAAAAACAATCGCGATCTTATAATTCGCAACACTAAATCAAACGCGATCATTATTTCATCGCAACTCTAATTCAAACCGAAATCAACATTTGCTCGCAACACTAATTCAAACCGAAATCAACATTTGCTCGCAACTCTAATTAACATCGCGATTTCTGGTCTCCTCCGCAACTCTAATAAAAATCGCGACATTTGGTCTCCTTCGCAACACTAATTCAAACCGTGATTAATTACTCGCAACGCTATTTACAAAAATCGCGATTTGCCCAAATCAGGATGATGGACCGATGTACATCGGCCAGCAAATAAACTACTACTACTACATGCAACTAAATAAGAGCATAGTGACAAAATAATAACAAGAATGATTCCCCATCCAATGGATAGGGAATCATTCCTAGGCCGCCCTCTTCGTGACAGTTTGTCGGGCAGCCTCTTCTTCTTTCTTCGGGCGCCATGCCCGCTGAAACTTATATCTAGGCTCGAGATTCTCTAATCAGAAAAAAAAAAAAAATACAAACCGCGAAAGCTAATCGAGACTCACATGGACAAGCAACGATCGGAATGATCGTTGTTCGTGCACACGTGCAGAAACTCGAGCACATATACGTTCGACCACAACCGCGACCGCGACGAAAATTTGAAAAAATCGATAGGTAAAGCTAGTGACGAATGGCAACACCCAATCGTGCCAACTTCACCGTCGACTATTCAAATTATAATTCCTGAAACAGGTTGTGCACGCGAAAACGCGCCTACCCGAATAGAGACTGTGCCAACCTGCCCGGCCCTACCTACTTATAATTATCACACATACCAGAGAGTATGCTACCTACCTACCTAACCCTATATTTAAAAATGGCAAAAATCAAGCATTCCAACACACCACACTCCACGGTTCTCACACATCACCCGGGCGCAAAGATCCTACACTACAGAAAGCGTCCCGGGACGCCCCCGACACCCGAGTGTGAACATACTACTTGCACACTTTAATTGTACGTACCATTTACTGAAATCGGCTGACGATGGCTAGAGACCTTTGCGTAAAGCGCGAGTATATCAATTGTCCGAAAAAAATATCTATAATCTATAATCTGCTGTATTTAATAGCAGGTTATGATCTCTTATTGTAATTAATATTTACGAATTTGCAAAATTCATAAATTTAATATTCGGAAAAGGAAGCGAAGCAATTATACGAACGACGTAATTCCACAGCCTAACCACACACACAATGTGGAAAATACGTCGTGCACGATACCCTAACTCATCGTCAGCCGCCAAAGAATTATTATGAGCTTATGAACTATGGTCATCATGCCCATTGCCTATCACTCACACAAGTAGCACCGGGGCACGTGAGTGAGCTCCTGGCAATGAACACGGAAAGGGTTAAACCTGAAAATCCTGAGCTAAAAACATGATTAGCGTATATATTGTTTATTTAACGGACTAACGTTCTTTCATCTTGTATTTTTGTAATTTATCTACAATGACTCTATTTTATAAAATTAAAGAATTATTGAAATTTGAATATTGAAAGAAAATATTGATAACAAAGAATTTATTCGTGAAAGCAAAGACAAAGACTCGACGTAATGAAATAATTGACTCTAATTTAAAAAGCAATAAAAATAACCTCAGATGATTTCTTCATCAAAGCACATTTTCGGAAACGCAAAAATAGAGTTCAAATTTAGTGCTTTGATTCCAAAATCTATCTGTCGCGAAATGTTTTCTTGCACATAATATTCAATACATTTTTGAACGAAAGAAAATTAAAAATAATTAAATTATTCGACATTACCAAAAAACAAAAAAATGGAATTCGCGTTTATTTATTACAACAATGATAAGATATATAATCATTGTTGCAGTGTTATAATTATAATTTTCATAATAACGAAGTCGAAGGGCATTCGACTTCTCCATTACAAAATATTCATATATTTATTTCAATGATTATTCTACACTAAACTAATTAACCATATTGTATTATTTATGTTATACTATAAACTAACTATCCATATTTTAATTATTATTATTCAGAAACGCGATGTGCAAGAAAACCTATCCTGAATTAATAAATAAAATACACCAGACATTTTGTTACTACTCACGGGTATAATAAATACCCGCGGTCACTATGCTCATAAAAAATTCTACGTAATACAACCAATCACTCGTGTCGATTTGGACCTTTCATCCTACGACATGATTGAGTGACCAGAGGAACCAAAATGCATGCGACTCACCAATGATGCGGAGAACGTGGCTGCAATCGCTGGCAAGAAGTCATGAAGAGAACCGTCCTCGTGAAGACCGTCATCGTGAAGGCTGTCATCAAGGTAGACTCACTGTATGCATGGAGAAAATGACTGCAAAAATCTGTAACAAAGCATCGAATATTACAATCTATTCTTAAAGACACTTTAATCATTTGAAAAGTGTAATTTGCAATGTACAAATATACTTACATTCTTGGCTTTTGAAGCACCGTTGTGGATCCTCTTTCCAGGCAAGAACTGAATTTAATACCGGTAACGAATATTTAAAAAGAAAAGGCATGAATAAATAAAAAAAGAAAAATAAAAGATTATTAACGCGACCGCTTTAATTTCGATCAGCGAACAAACACTGACTCAACCTTCGCGTATAGCAATTATTATATTTTGCAAGAGCTACAAGGGCTCTGAGAAGGATACTTGGAACGTCAACAAACACTGACTCTACCGGCCGCCTTGCGCGCGACCACACATTCCTGAAAGAAAAAAAGTTAGTGGGAAGAGGGGAATGGGGTGGAGAGTTCGTCTCCCTGTCGAACGTTTGTTAGAAAAAACTACTGCTGTGTTTATAAAGCCCTGGCTAACCGTCGCCCGTTTTGTCGATAATAGATGTAGGAAACGAAACACGTATTATAAATGCGAACGAATAAATGTAAAATATTAGTAGTATTGTTCCGTAATACAACTGAATGCAAGAAATTATATGAAACCGTTCGTTACTAGACTTCGAAATATATCTGCGCAATCATATTGCGCAATAACCGATTTTATGCTCGCGTCGAAAATTGTTCGTGTATGTAATTGCGACTCTTTCGTATAAATAATAAAAATTATTGTTAACGGACAAATTATGATGACGTTAGAAAATATTCGCGACAGACATGCAGTAAAATGTAAGTTATTTCAATTTCTTGTTCAAATTCATCTAATGAATTTACTAAATTTACCGAATTTACTTTCAATTCGAGAATCGAATATTAACGATATATTATAATATCACGTATCAATCAAATTACCGATGATTCAATAACTGGAAGTACTTACGAACCTATATTACCTCTGACTTCGTTGTAATAAATTCAATATTACCAGATTATTACGAAAAGTTGGCAGATTCGAAGACGAACGTGACGTCCATCATGGCGTCCATACTGCGTTCTCTATACGTTCCTTAGTGGCCATATTCCTTTCTAAAATTTGCTCGTTGGCGGCCATATTTGATTCTGAAATTCATTCGTTGGCGTCCAATGCATCTTACATGATTCTTGCAATCTATTAATGATCTGCATGAAAGAAAATGCAAAATTTAAGACAAATATATAAAACTGTAACTAATTATACTAAAATTAAGCAATCATATTTAAATTTAAACTACTGGTAACTTTGACGACCAATTCAAAATTGTAAAATCAGAAAAGGCGTAAAAAGCGAGATTGATTTGCTATAATAATGTTCAAACAAGTGAATAAATAAGCACGTCTTAATCGAACATAGTTAGCAGTAGTGTATGTATAATAAAAGAAAAGAAATGAACGTACTACGGAATAGATAAGCCGCGGTAGTTTACACCGTATAAGGTGACACGTCCTTTCGCGGCAAGTTTCCGTAGTCGACTGACCCCCCCGCGCGCCGTAGTTTCCCGAAGGCAGTTTGCTGATTTGTCGCGAAGCGGCTTCCCCTTCCACTTACAATGTTCGGTGGACTGTAAAATTCACCGAATCCAATTAGGTATAGACGTGAACGTTATATTCCAAAACATTTCTTGGAACACTTGGCTTTTCAGGAAGTCACCAGTGCGAGCAGGGCAGAGAGGCGAAATCAAAACATTGAAACTCCGTTATGGCTTTGAAACCAGCCAGCATAGCACGTTGCTTCCTTGTGCACTAACAATTTCAAATCTATCATCCTGCCGCGCAATGGAAGCGGAATGGGAAGGTGCCGCGCGTACAACCAACGAACTGTCTAGCAGATTCGACGCACGCGTCGCGACGCTGCGAATGGATGCTACGGGGGTGCAAAACGTGGCATGGAATGCCGCCTTGTATACGAATTGTACGAACTATATGAACTATACCAATTATACATTTCTATGTACATGCGTAAAATGATATGGTCAGTAGAGTGCGGTGGGTGGGGGGGGGGGGGGCGAGCATCTTTCCAGAAAGTTCGATCTGTCGGTGTGACCAGCAATGAGTGGGGTGGGGGCGGTGCGGGGAGCGAGGATCTTTCCGGAGAGTTCGATCTCGTGGTGGTGACAACAGCGGGGGTGAGGGGTGCGAGGATCTTTCCGAGGAGTTCGATCTCGCGGATTGGTTAACGAGGGTGGCGTGAGGATCTTTCCAGAAAGTTCGATATCTTGATGGGACAAATAGGGGGGGTACGGGGTGCGAGGATCTTTCCGAGGAATTCGATCTCGCGGATTGGTCAACAAGGGTGGCGTGAGGATCTTTCCAGAAAGTTCGATATCGCGGTGGGGCCAGAAGTGGGAGTGCGGGACGCGAGGATCTTTCGGGAGAGTTCGATCACTTGGATTGGTCAAAAGGGGTGGTGCGAGGATTTTTCTAGAAAGATCGATCACGTGACACAGAAAACCGTTATAACGGTCAGTTGAGTCGCGTCTGCCTGCAAAGAAACATTAGACATCTAACGAAGCATTTCGTGTCCACTTTTCTCCATACTTTTATCACATATTCTAACTTTAGTGCTTAGTCGTCACAATACCCTTATCATATTGCTATTTTTCTGTAATTTTGGCGGTTCGTTAAAGGAATAAGGTAGGGAAAATGTAAAATCGCCTAACGATACTACACATTTCAAACTCCTCGCTAATATATTTCAAACTTCGATTATCCCTGTCGATATTTAGCTCACACTGCTTTGATTAGAAATTCCTTTAATTGTTCTTCCAATTCTGCTCATATATTGAAGATTCCTTTGATCACGACTTTCATAGCTCTAATAAGTATCAGGGGCATCATGTGCTAGTATACACAGATTCTTTAGCACATGGCTATTCCAAGCATCAAACATCTTCCCACTAAAACACCTAGCTTCTCCCCCGGCCGCAGTCAACGTCAGTCGATAGCAAATCGAACATACCGGTAACACTTGGCAGAATATTTTCGCGCGTTAAAGTAAAAGTTTCAACGTCTTCGGAAGACGTTTCTCGAAGAAGTTTTAACAGTGATAGACGTTTTAATTGTTACAACCCAGGAAATATATATTAAAACATAATAATATGGCAGTATGAGTTTGTAGCATTGCAAATATGGGTTGTCTTTGCAACACCATCCAAATATTTACGAGTGAATCAAAGCATAAGATTAAGAAATCAACAGAACATTATCAACATTAAGATATTAAAATAGACCAACGTTTGTTTACTCAGCCATAATATGTGAATTAAGTGAGGTTATATAGTGCATATACAAAAGTGGCATGTGCGACATAAAATGACGGGAGTGGAGATCTTATAACACAATAGCATAGTCACATATCGACAGTAGATTCCAGATTTCAATTATCCATTGCGATTATTGGTTGACATAGGTCGGTAAAGGAAGTTTCCTAATTGCTCTGCACAAACATTTTCCATTTTAACACATCTCATGTAAAGTAAAGCGGAACAAGTGTAAGCTGTCGACAGTTCGTGCTGCGCAATTGAATTCTTTGGCACATATTTCGGAAATTTCAATTATGGATTGGTAGTTTTCGGATTATCTCGATACAGCAGATTTTTCTGTAATAGGACCGTAGCTTTTTTTTCGGTTTTCCCGGGTCAGTGCTGCACCGAGCGACGGAAGTGTAAGCGACTGACAGGTCGTACTGCGCAATAGAGTTTTATGGCTTATATTTCGGAAATTTCGATTGAGGATTATAAGTTGGTGGATTATCTCGATAGAGCAGATTTTTCTTTAATAGGATCGTTAGCTTTTTTTCGGTTTTGCCGGATCAGTGCTGCAATCGAGCGACGGAAGTGTACGCGAGTGACAGGTCGTGCCGCGTAATAGACTTTTATGGCTTATATTTCGGAAATTTCGATTGTAGATTATAGGTTGGTGGATTATCTCGATAGAGCAGATTTTTCTGTAATAGGATCGTTGGTTTTTTTTCGGTTTTGCCGGGTCAGTGCTGCAAACGAGCGACGGAAGTGTAAGTGAGTGACAGGTCGTACTGCGCAATAGACTTTTATGGCTTATATTTCGGAAATTTCGATTGACGATTATAAGTTGGTGGATTATCTGGATAGAGCAGATTTTTCTTTAGTAGGATCGTTGGTTTTTTTTCGGTTTTGCCCGATCAGTGCTGCAATCGAGCGACGGAAGTGTAAGTGAGTGACAGGTCGTGCTGCGTAATAGACTTTTATGGCTTATATTTCGGAAATTTCGATTGGGGATTATATATTGGTGGATTATCTCGATAGAGCAGATTTTTCCTTAAAAGGATCGTTGGCTTTTTTTCGGTTTTGCCGGATCAGTGCTGCAATCGAGCGACGGAAGTGTACGCGAGTGACAGGTCGTGCTGCGTAATAGACTTTTATGGCTTATATTTCGGAAATTTCGATTGTGGATTATAAGTTGGTGGATTATCTCGATAGAGCAGATTTTTCTGTAATAGGATCGCTGGTTTTTTTTCGGTTTTGCCGGGTCTGTGCTGCAAACGAGCGACGGAAGTGTAAGTGAGTGACAGGTCGTACTGCGCAATAGACTTTTATGGCTTATATTTATAAGTTGGTGGATTATCTGGATAGAGCAGATTTTTCTTTAGTAGGATCGTTGGTTTTTTTTCGGTTTTGCCCGATCAGTGCTGCAATCGAGCGACGGAAGTGTAAGTGAGTGACAGGTCGTGCTGCGTAATAGACTTTTATGGCTTATATTTCGGAAATTTCGATTGGGGATTATATATTGGTGGATTATCTCGATAGAGCAGATTTTTCCTTAAAAGGATCGTTGGCTTTTTTTCGGTTTTGCCGGATCAGTGCTGCAATCGAGCGACGGAAGTGTACGCGAGTGACAGGTCGTGCTGCGTAATAGACTTTTATGGCTTACATTTTGGAAATTTCAATTGTGGGTTATCAGTTTTTAGATTATCTCGATAGAGCAAGTTTTTCTTTAATAGGATCGTTGGTTTTTTTTCGGTTTCGTCCGGTCAGTGCTGCAAACGAGCGACGGAAGTGTAACTGAGTGACAGGTCGTACTGCGCAATAGACTTTTATAGCTTATATTTCGGAAATTTCCATTGAGGATTATATATTGGTGGATTATCTCGATAGAGCAGATTTTTCTTTAAAAGGATCGTTGGCTTTTTTTCGGTTTTGCCGGATCAGTGCTGCAATCGAGCGACGGAAGTGTACGCGAGTGACAGGTCGTGCTGCGTAATAGACTTTTATGGCTTATATTTCGGAAATTTCGATTGTGGATTATAAGTTGGTGGATTATCTCGATAGAGCAGATTTTTCTGTAATAGGATCGCTGGTTTTTTTTCGGTTTTGCCGGGTCAGTGCAGCAAACTAGCGACGGAAGTGGAGGTGAGTGACAGATCGTACTGCGCAATTGACCTTCTTGGTTTATATTGCGGGAGATTCGATTGTGGTTTATCAGTTTTTAGATTATCTCGATAGAGCAGATTTTTCTGTAATAGAATCGTTGGTTTTTTTTCGGTTTTTCCGGGTCAGTGCTGCAAACGAGCGACGGAAGTGGAAGTGAGTGACAGGTCTTACTGCGCAATTGAGTTTCTTGGTTTATATTTCAGGAGATTCGTTTGTCGGTTATCAGTTTTTAGATTATCTGGATAGAGGAGATTTTTCTTTAGTAGGATCGTTGGTTTTTTTTCGGTTTTGCCCGATCAGTGCTGCAATCGAGCGACGGAAGTGTACGCGAGTGACAGGTCGTGCTGCGCAATATACTTTTATGGCTTATATTTCGGAAATTTCGATTGTGGATTATAAGTTGGTGGATTATCTCGATAGAGCAGATTTTTCTGTAATAGAATCGTTGGTTTTTTTTCGGTTTTTCCGGGTCAGTGCTGCAAACGAGCGACGGAAGTGGAAGTGAGTGACAGGTCTTACTGCGCAATTGAGTTTCTTGGTTTATATTTCAGGAGATTCGTTTGTCGGTTATCAGTTTTTAGATTATCTGGATAGAGCAGATTTTTCTTTAGTTGGATCGTTGGTTTTTTTTCGGTTTTGCCCGATCAGTGCTGCAATCGAGCGACGGAAGTGTACGCGAGTGACAGGTCGTGCTGCGCAATAGACTTTTATGGCTTATATTTCGGAAATTTCGATTGTGGATTATAAGTTGGTGGATTATCTCGATAGAGCAGATTTTTCTGTAATAGAATCGTTGCTTTTTTTTCGGGTTTTCCGGGTCAGTGCTACAAACAAGCGACGGAAGTGGAAGTGAGTGTCAGGTCGTGCTGCGTAATCGAATCTTATGGCTTATATTTCGGAAATTTCGATTGTGGATTATATATTGGTGGATTATCTCGATAGAGCAGATTTTTCTTTAGTAGGATCGTTGGTTTTTTTTCGGTTTTGCCCGATCAGTGCTGCAATCGAGCGACGGAAGTGTACGCGAGTGACAGGTCGTGCTGCGTAATAGACTTTTATGGCTTATATTT